AGTGCTAAGAATGGGTATATCACTAAATATCTTTTTTTTTTTTTTGGGGTGTGTAAAGGGGTTTGATGAGTATTTTGGGGTCACATTCCTTTGCAAATTGTTTGCTCCTATTACCACTCCTAATTGCTCGAACTTTCTTCCTTTTGTTTTTGTTTAAAAAAAAAAAATTTACAAATATGGTCTTGCATAGAATTACTTAAAACAACACATATATTTAATCAAATGTGATATGATTTACGCGGTATTAATTTTTCATGAATTAAAATTTTAATTTATTTTTCTCTCGGCTGAGTGTAAGTTGTGATGCTTTCTCGTAGCTTTTCTTTGCATTAAATGAACCCATTTGTTTCTTCATCTGTCACTAAGAGGAGCATCCACACTTCACAACATCCTAAAATTTCTGTAAAGGTTTCAATTATTATTATTATTTATTTTTAATACAATCGATATTGGGGGAGGGGAATAGAATCTAGGGCTTTTGGGTGTAGAGGTAAATGATTTTTACAGCTTCAGTTACAAGCGCCCTGCAAATGGGTTCAAAAATATTTGACTAAAGAGATTGGGTAAAAGTTCTGTGAGGTTTTAAATAGATTCTCTCCAAAAAAATTGCACATTATTTTCTGTTCTTGTAAATTTGAGAATATGAGAACGACCCACCAGCAGCAGGATTGTGAATTGAAAGGTTTTAGTTCTCCAACGCCATTCTCTTTTCTCATTGTATGTTACATCACCAAAGTTCAAAGGGAAAATAATACTACTTTGAACGATGATGACGCTGCATGTGAATTGTGAAAGTAGCTTGTTTTCATATCCTCAACCCAATCTGCCCGGAAAATGCATGCACATCTTCTTCTGGTAAGCAGTTGGAATGCATCAGTGTTTTGAAGCTACAAATTAAAGTGGGGAAATAGAAAGACATCATGAAAATTTCATCGAATCAGAAAAAAAATGGGAAGAAGCACCCACCAATATTTTATGTAAGATATTTCTTTCTATATATTAATAATACCTCCATAATTTTTCAAGCTCTCAGTGATCAGTATTCTGTATTGAGGAGCTTATGACCAAATATATTAAACTTGCAAAGAATGGGGCCTCTTCCAGGTTTTAAATTGCCTCAATTCATAATATATACGTCTACAATTCATAATATAACATTACATTTTAGAAGAAAAAAAAACTCTTGAAGTCCAGTACTTTAGAAAAACACTGTTCTATTTTTAAGTTTAAAATGATAATGCGCTAAGAACCAATTAGAAAGTGACAAGTGGCTAATTGTGGGTGTTTTAGTTAGAACAAATTGGGCTAATTGGGGTGAATATTGGATTGAAATCCAAATTGTGACGTATAAGGAAAATCAAAAGGGCAAACAAAATTCAAATGAAATCAATAACTTACCAATATATTGGACTATATTTGTGCAGCTATACTAGATTTCCGCACAGAAATTTGGGAAAAATTTTAAGAATAGTATAGCCGTGCGGCTATACTTGTTTTTAAATTTTTTATAAATATACCTGCACGGCTTTACCTGTTGACACGTGGCACATAGGCATTGGGCGACTCTATATATATGGGAGCGGATCCGTGGCACCATATTTTTGACACAAATTTTGACACAATTTTTGAGCCTTTTCTTAAAGAATTTCAGGTTTTACAAACGGAGATTTTTATTCCATTTTCATTTTTCTTAAAACTAAGACATTTTGTTTTGTTATTTATGATTATATTGATATGACCTGAAATCTTCACTGTTCGGTTTGTTTTCTTAAAGAATTTCAGGTTTTACAAACGGAGATTTTTATTCCATTTTCATTTTTCTTAAAACTAAGACATTTTGTTTTGTTATTTATGATTATATTGATATGACCTGAAATCTTCACTGTTCGGTTTGTTTTCTTAAAGAATTTCAGGTTTTACAAACGGAGATTTTTATTCCATTTTCATTTTTCTTAAAACTAAGACATTTTGTTTTGTTATTTATGATTATATTGATATGACCTGAAATCTTCACTGTTCGGTTTGTTTTCTTAAAGAATTTTAGGTTTTACAAACAGAGAAAATAAAATATTGGAGTAGAGAATTCATACGGTTGGTTTGCAGTTACTGGAGAGAGAGAGAGAGGGAAAAAAGATGGAGGTTTTTTTTTTTCTTTTTTTTTTCTAATCCCAAGAAAGAGAGAGAGAGGTATATACCAAGTAAAAGAGGATACTACCAAGAAAAGAGATTACGTTTCCAAGAAAAAAAAGAGGGGAGAGAGGTTTATTTTATTTTATTTTTATGAGAGAGAAAATAAAATTAATGATTGTTTATTTAAAACATTAAAACTATTTGTCATGTCAGATTTAATCTCAACCATTAAAAGTGGAGTAATCTAATGGCCCAAAAATTGTGTCAAAAATTGTGTCAAAAATATGGTGCCACGGATCCGCCCC